AAGGAGAGTCCAATGAGAGGTCCAAAAATCTTGGGAATAAAAATTTCCAATTTTCTGGGAAGCAAACTGAGCTTCTCAGAAGAAGTCAATGACAATCAGCTGTTGATGAGTGATGACCCTGACTTAGGGATGAAATGTCTAGGTTGGGGTCAGCTCCTGTGACACCTGCACAGAGGAAATAAGAATGCCAGAAATGAGCTGGTCTCCGAAACTCTTCAAGGTCTCACCAAATACAATAAACTAACCTAGCAAACAATCAGAATTGCACTAATGTCCCTGCTTTGTCCCTACCAATCAATTCGACGTTACCTAATCCTTCTGGAAAAATTCCCCTAGCCCTGCATAAAAGGGGCTTATGAGTACCTACACTCGACATCATTTTGATACACACAAAATTTCTGCAAAATAAATGTTCTTTGCATTGTATAGAGTTTGAGTATGGGGTCTTCCTTCAGTGATCCTTGGATCCTAAAACATAGACCTGACAGCCACAGTGCTGAGATGTGGCAGGTCAGGAAGAGCGAATCTGGAGATGCAGAAGTATCCATGTGCATCCACACATCCTCCCCAGGGGATTAAGTACTGTTTTCACAGCTGTGATGGAAACCAGAAGAAAGCAGGTGAATGGAGGAATGATTTCCTGGTGGGATAAAAGCTGGTTGTGGTAGGGGGTGTGGCACCAGGTGTGGTGGGGGAGGGGCATGGAGCCAAGACACTGCCATTGGATCCACAATGGAGAGATTGGAATGGTGGGTCCCAGGCATGAGCTGGTGCCTGCTCACATTCAGGGTGGGTTATCCCACTCAGCTAAGATTCTCTGGAAACACACTCAGCAGGTACAGCCCCAAAGGTGTGCTAGATTAATGCCCTGATGTTTCCATTTTTTTATAAGTTGCCAAAAGACAACACTGCCACTATTTGACCACACTCTTTGTCCAGATAAATGTTGGAATCTTTCATAGATTGAAAGAAACCTTCCATCCCAGACCTGGGATTAGGCACAAACCACAACAAACATCCATTTGCACAGAGATCATTTATTAAGCAGGGAGGAAAAATTAAAATGGCTGCTCTCTCACTTAGGCAGAACACCAGCAGCAAATGACATTGAGTTATAATTTTTTATATGCTGTCTTATTGTATTCTATAGTGAGCATATATAAAATAAGTAAAGGTTATGAAACAGAAATCCATGAAAATTCAGTGAGGTACGTAGATGTTAAGGACTGACAAGGAGAGGACTGTGTATTATGACACATGTTGACGAAAAGCTTTTGTACAGATCAAACGCAGTTCTCTTAAATATTGTCTGGTTCATGCAAAGGGCGTTGAGAAACCTTAAACTATATGACTACAAAAAGAGGCAGGCTTTCTGGCCTCTGAGGGATTTGTACTTAAAGACACTCCAGTCAGCAGAGGGTCATGATGAGCATTCTGCAGACAGATGTGTTTTAAATTGGCAGCTGACTGGGAAACCTTCACGTGGTTGGGCCCAGCCTCCAGCTGGAGCCGCTGAACCACCTCCTTCATGGCAATGATACTAGAAGAACCTGACCTGATGTTGGGGACAGCCATGTGGACTTATCAGTCCATGTGGGGGGTGTATAATTTTTTTAGGAGAGAAAAAGGGGTGGTCTGTGTTAGCATGGGGTAGGAAATGGTAGTATATTTGCCCCAGAGACACAGAGGGTAGGGATAAGGGACAGAGACAGGAGATGGAGGAAGAGGAAAAGGGGTGTTTGTCCCAGAGGACCAAGGACTGCCTCTGGATAGAGAAGACAGCAAAATGGCCCATAGCAAAATGGCAGTTCATACAGCTAAAAGGGGAAACCCCATATTAGGATGAGGTGTCTAATTTTAATTGGGTATGTTAATTACGTGAGCCATAGGGGCTTTTGAGTGCTGGATTTCAATAATGGGATATCTAGATCTTGGCAGTGAGCCTCAGGAGGAGGAAGTGGATCAAAAAGGGATTAGACTTTGGCAACTTGCTTTGGGAATGTAATCTAAGAAGTTGTTTGTTTGTTTGCTTTGGTGTTGTTGTTGTTGTTAGTTTGTTTTTAGCAAGGCAGAGAGAACAGGAGAGAGGAACAAGGTCTGCCAGAGCCATGTTCTCCCCTGTAGAGCTGGCCGGACTGGCTTTATACTTAGTATCTCATGAGCCACTCATCAACTTCACCTGTTCCTTCCTTGTCTTCATTGCTTCTTCTGATAGAAGAGTCACATAACCTTAATTTTTTTCAAACCTTACTTTTAATGATAGCTCTTAAACTCTTTAACCTTCCTTGTAGCCCACCACCCAACAAAAAAAAACAGATACAGAAGGTGAGGGTGGAAGTGGACCTGTTTAGAAAGGTTCTTTGGAGCAACTTCCATCTGTGTTGTCTGGAAATCAACAGTTCAGTTCACAGGTTAGGAGGCAGCAGCGGCAGCTCCATCCACTCAAAAACACCTCATGGATACACCAGCAGTCCGGTTTAGTAGAGTCAGGATAGCAAACACAAATCAGCAGTGGTGACACGACCTAGCAGAGACAGCCAGGCCTCAGCCTCAGCTCGAGTCAGCAGGAGGGACCAGAAGGAACACCAGGAGAAGGCTGTGCCTCTCTCAGGGAACAAAGATCAGTGAAGACTCAAGACCCATAGCACTGCACAGCTAGCTCTATAGGCAAGCCGAGGTCTCTCTCCATAGAGTCCTATTTATATCCTCCAAACATCGTGTGTCCTCCACATGCCTTTCCTCAGCATGTGCCTTCTCTCAGAAAAACAACATCCAACAAAATAGACTCTGCAAGGAACCCTTAAAAAGTTTCTACTTCAGAGTCCCACCAGGTAGCAAATCCCATAAAAGAGATGTATTGGAGGGTCAGGGTATGGAGAGGAGATTCCAAGGATGGCTGCCTCTCCTGTAAGTGCACAGCAGGGAAGTGAATAAAGGAAAAGGCTTATATAGGATTTCTTAGGAGGCAGAGCTTTTCAGAGCAGAGATTTCCAGAGTGAGGATGGGTTGGATTTCAAGTCCTGAGTTTAGGGAGCTCAGGGATTGGTGGCTTTTTTCATCACCCCTTTCCCTGCATCAGGCCCACGGATTGGGATGCGGAGACCTGTGCAGCTACAGCTGGCTTTGGCTGAAGCGTCGTCGCTGCTGAGCTGTGTTGGGTGTGCTGGAGAGGAGGTGTTGCCACCGTGGAGAGTTTTTAAGGGACAGCTCCTGTGGTGGTATATCTTGAAGACCATAGGTTGAAGCAGAAAGACAGGTGATAGCATCATGGACAGGTCCTATTTTATACTTCATGACAACTGCAGGCATCGGAGGTGTTGCTGTTTGGATAAATGGTGTAGCCATTTTAACAGGTCTAGCTACAAGCTGCTCAGAGACTACACCAGTGAAGTACATTTTATGAACGCAGGAACACTTTGCAAGGAAACAAACTACTTTCTATATACTGAATATATCATTAGTTTTTAACAAAAGGACTTAGGGCCAGCAAGGTAAATCAGGGCATAAAGGCATCTGTTGTCAAACCTGACATCCTGATTTTGATTCCTGGGACCTAAAAGGTAGGAGGACAAAACTCATTCCCCAAATTGTCCTCGGTCATGTGCAACTTGACACATGCGCATCAACACACAAGCACACAAAATGTAATAAAAGAATTGACATCTATGTTTAATCTGAACGGTCATCTTCCCAAGACTAAGAGACTAAATATCTGTGGTGGCAGTCTGCGCCTGCTCATCTGTACAATTTAGAAGCATCTACAGGGAAAGGGCAAAGGGCGTCCTCACAGAGCCCGCCTAGATACCTAATGCGACCCTGCGATTGGAGGATGATCTCGGCAGCAACTGCCACTGACCTGTGCTAAACCTGCACTTTCTGCTCATGCGTGCCACCTGAGGCAGGCTTTTATTGGCTTCACTGGGGACCAATGAGATGCAGCAGTTCTTCAGGCTTATCCAATCAAGGTTTGACATGAATACTCATTAACCAATGGGGCTTCGAGGGTCTTGTCTGACCGAGGTGGTCACTATGGGTAGGCCTGAGGGGAGTTGCGCAGGCGCAGGGAGGTTACGCAGAAAGAGCACGACTGTAAGCGCTTTCCAAGGCTGAGATTCGGGTGAGAATGTACTGAAGCCAGAAGGAATTTTGCAGCTTAAAAGGAAACGGAGTAGTGAGAGAACAAATACCTGAGCCCCAAGGGAAGAAGCCAGTGAGGAGGGAGAAGGGGCATACGGGGAGGTCCTGAGTCTGAGAGAGGAGGGCTGGGGTATGAACGCCAGAGTTTGATGAACGGAAAACAGGTCTTGGTATTGAGGGAGAGGTCGGACCTAGCATTCTCATCGGAGGGAGGAGGGCTTTGCCCTTACAGGGTTTATTCCCTAAGTCTTTGAAGAGTGCTAAGTTCTGGACTTCGTGTCTAAGGGAAACATCTGGAGTCTAGCCACCCATGAATGAAGGAGGAGCCCGGGGTTTGTACCCCTTCATGGCATGGTGCTGAGGACTGTGCTCTGAGGCCCGAAGAAGGAACCTGGGCGACTAGAGTCTTGGGCCATGAGGAGTTGGGGCTGTGAGAATGGACCCTAAATGCTACTTTCCTAGTCCAACCCTCAGAATTTAAGTTCTGTTGGAGCTGAGTTCGGAGTCCTGAGAAGCTGAGGCCTTCAGAAGGCTCTGCTTGGACTCTGAAGTTCTGAGGGTTCAAGCAGAGGGTTCCTGGGCCCATTGTCCTGCATATAGACCCTGAAAGGCCACAGTCGCTGGGATCCTGGTCTTAGGGACCCCATAACTGAGACTGAGATGTGCAATCAGAGAACCTGTGGCACAGTGAGCCTAGGGTAACTACCAAGTACTTCAGGACAGACTGGCTTCCCATTCTTAGGTTCCCTAGAACTGTCCCTGTCTACAAGACAAGGATTAACCCCTCTCTGTCTGGTTGAATTGACTCCTGTAGGTTATCAGTTCCCAGGTCCTGATCAGCTCTTCCCACTGTGAGAGAAGCCATGGGAGCCTGCCGAATCCAGTATGTCCTGCTCCTCTCTCTGCTGGGCTTCTCCCCATGCTCAGGTGAGGATGTAGAAGAAGAGCGATTGGCAATCATCATCGGAATGTCAGAATGCTCTACGTTTCATGTAGTGTCTCTTAACAGATTGGAGGAGAAAACAGTTGCAGACATGGGAAGAGGAAACCATGTGCAAAGGCCTGAGAAGGACCTTCTCTGGCAACACCTAGCTCTCCTACCCACTGTTGGAGACCAGCACCCTGCCCACTTTTTCAGACAGGAAATCAAAGATTACATGTCCCTAGTTCCATCATCAACAATGGGTGTCCACCATATTGTCTCCTATGTTCTTCCTCTCCTTGTCTTCCCCTGAGGAGTTCTGTGACACTAGAATGTGTCTCATTCTCCTTTTCTTCCCAGACCCTGTGAGATGCCCCCTTGCCTGTGGGACTGTATCAGGGGCATAGGGACGAAGAGGGGATTTGCACATGAAGACATAGGAAGGCCGAGTCACACAGGAGCCTGGCGACCATTCTAAGAACTCAGAGTCTTTAGATGTATCTTTATCAGTTTTAATTATGTATAGGTTGTGTGTGTGTGTGTGTGTGTGTGTGTGTGTCTGTCTGTCTGTCTGTGCCTGCAGGAGGACATATGCTAATACATTTTGGGAATCAACTCAGTTCTTGGAAGAGCAGTGAGTGCTCTGCACTGGGACATCTCTATAGCTCATTAAGGTCAGAACTTTACTCGAGGAAAGATGGGGGACCTACCAGAAGTTTATGCCTTCTCAGGGCTTATTGGAGTTACTCATGGTCCTGACCTTATCACCTAACCATTAACAGGATCCAAGGGTGCTGTGGGGTAAATACAGTGGGGGAGGAGTGAAGGGAGATCAGAGAGACCCATGACAGGCAGGGAAAGGCCTTGCTGTCATCTTTGCTAGCTGGAGGCATTAGAGGTGGGGACAGTGTTCAGGATCTGCAGGGACTGTGCAGAGTGAGTCGCGGGGTTTCCTGGGGACTGTAGCATGGGCTGCAGAGAAAGAATGGATGAGAAAGGGGGCGGAGCTGCAGCTGGAGCAACTGGGGGAAAGGAGCCACCTTGGAGCAAGATGGGGAGGATGTGGGTGGGGTGGAGCAGAGAGAGTGCAGGTCTGGTTTGCAGGAGGAGAGCAGCTCAGGAATGGTTAAAAGTACAGCCTCCCCGACCCCCGCTGGGCCACTGAGAGGGTTGAGTGTAGCGGTCCAATGGTGCCAGGGATGAACTGGGTTTCCTGACAGGGGGGTTGATAATGAAAGAGAGACAGTGGTGAGAGGAGCATGAAGCCAAGACAAGGTCCTGATCAAGGCTCACTGTCTGATCGTCTGCATGGAGTTTATCTAGGGGAAGCCCACTGAAACCATCCTTTGTTTCAGCTGGACCATGTTGCAAAGCAGGCTCAGCTGGCATCTGTCCTAAGTTCTTGTAGGAAGTTGCAAGTGTGAACGAAGCAGAGACTTCACCTAGGTGTTAAGGTCCTGTGTGGCAAGCAAGGTCTGCTCAGTCTGCTCAAGGCTGGGAAGGGCACAGTTGGGGGTTCTTGTGGACAGCTGTCCCGGCTCCAGGTATTTCTGTATGATAATGTAATGATCCTGAGAGGCCCCTTAGGGAAGGCCCCAGTTCAGGATCCTCAGGCTAGACTGTGTGGTCAACCTTGACACTAAGGTGACAGCCCAGGTTCTGAGTCCATCTCTGCCACCTACTGCCTGGGTGACACTGGGCATGCTCAACACCTCCTGTCTGTTGCCCTCCCTTGGGAATACTGCCACTTGCTGGAGGCTGTGCTTAGGAGATGACACAGGTGAGTCAACAGTGGAGATAGGAGCTGGCTCTGCAAACCCTGTGCTACTGAGGCAGAGGCCAGGCTAGACCACAGAACAAGGGCCTGTCTCAGAAACACAAAAAGTCAGGATACAATGAGCTCATCGTGGAGATTTATCACCATATCCAGGCACAGAGCAGGACCCAGTGCCCACGAGATGTTGAAGAGTTTTGTTTGGAATCTAGGACTTTTCAGAGTAAGGTAATACGTTATGCTGGGGACGGTTCTGTTGGTAAAGGGTCTGCAACCCCAGGGCTGAGGAAGACAGCCAGTCTTACAGATTACTGCGTCTGGCCAAAAGAGTGAGTCCACATTTCAGCAAGAGACACTGAAATCTGATGAAGGAAGACATTTGGCATTGACCTTTGAGCACATTCTCAGGGACACAAGCTCCACCAAGCACCAACACAGATGCCCAGAGACATGTATGTCTCCAGGCCTCCTTCCTTGTTATTGTAATGAGAGCGAGAAACCAGATGGAGAGTAGAGAAAGCCAGAAGAGGAGCCATCAGTGCAGAGCTAAGCCTTCCTCACAAGGCTCTGAGAGGAGGTCCCTGCAGGGGTCCAGGCAGTAACTGGGTGAGGAGGCTGTAGGCCTGGATGCTTTGAGTTCTGAGTCCCTCCTTAATGCAAGGCAGGGATGTCACAGGCAGGGCACTGGGAGAATGCTTCAGAATGTCATGTTCTTCCCTAACCCACAAACTGCCAGGACAGACATGGTGTGCTCCCTGACTCTCATAAACCCCGGATGTTCCTCTCCACAGATACTCTGACCTGTAAGGAGGGAACCCTGGTGAAGTTTGGGCAAAACTTCACGAAGGAACCAATTGAATGGATCGTAAATCCGACTGTGTCAGCTGGAGGTGATAAAACCTCGTGTCAGGAGACACTGCTGCTCATTGACGTAGGTGCGTGGACTGAGCTGGAGGGACACACTTCAGTACCAGGCCCAGCCCTGCCTTGGGTTCTATTTCCTCACGAATTCCCAGCTCCCCTCAAGCCTGGGATCTCCCGACTATGTGCCTTGTTCTGCTCAGCTGAGATGAGGGTATATAATGAAGACTAATTAAGACAAAAACCCTGGTCTTGAACCCTTGTCCCACATGACCTGGGTGTGGTGCTGTGTGCCTGTAATGCCAGCATGGGGCTGTGGGTGGAGACAGTCAGCTTCATCTGCAGCAACCTTGGGACTTGAAGAGCAGCCTGGACCAGAGGAGACCTGGGGCCCAGGAAGAGAGAGGAAAAAGGGAGGAAGGGATGGAGGGACAAAAATGAGGGAGGGAAGAAAGAAGGGAAAGAGGAAGGGAGGGAGGGAAGAAGGGAGCAAGGATGGATGAGTATGAAAGGTTGGGACTGTGGAAGCATGCTGAGTGCCTGTGTTGGGTTCTGCTAAGCCTGAGTCCCTCTGCAGCTCTGCAGGGAAGTGGGAAGGAGAGAGAAGCAGAGCACAGGAGTGTGCTGTGAAGGGCAGAGTGTAGAGAGACAGCCAGCAGGCTGGAAGAGATGCTGACCAGAGTGAGGCTGCAGCATGGTGCAGGGGCTCAGGGGAGACTGTGTGGAGGGGCCTGGGAACAGGGTCTGTGAGGGGCAGAGCAGAGGGAGCCAGGTTTAGGCTTCAGTCTGTGGCAGACTCAGCTCAAGATGTGTTTTGTTGTCACTGAGGATTGTACTGTCCCTGAGTGGGAGCATCAAGGAACCCAAGAACTGGGGATCCAGGTTTTGTCATCTTTTCCTTCTATGTCTCGATTTCACTCTTGTGTGTCTCTAGGGGAACAGTCTCTCATGATAGGGAGCAAAAGTCCCAGCAAGGATCCCGGTGTGACCCAAGATTTCGAAATGTTTGCTGCTGGGCCTGGAATCATAGCTGCCTCTTATGTCAACGTCTGTAACACTGACCAGTGCAACAAGGCAGACAGCACAAGTGTCCTACTTAACAAGTTGTCCCTTTCAGGTTTGTGACCCTGGCACCGAGCATTTGAGGGAACAGCCTATGGCTGCAGCTGAGAGCATGCTCTACAGGCTCTCTTTCTCTGTCCTCAGAATATAATGAGCCAGGAAAACTCAAGTGTCCTGCCTGCGTGAGTTTTAAGGGTTCTGCTTGTAACCACAACTCGAAGCGTGCCCCCTGCCCTAAGGAAACTAAATGCTATGCCAGTTCCTTGGAAGTGAATGGAGGTAAGGGATGAGGCTGCATCCTCAGGATGAGAGAGACTGTGGCTATGACTCCAGAGGCTCAGGAGGAGGGATGAGGACCCCTGGCTCTGAGGGAGGTGTGCAGAGGTCTGGGCTGCTGCAGCAGAGGGAGAGGTAATGCAGAGTAGAACCCTGGGTGTCAAGGAGGAATCCTGCACCTGGACCGAGACTCCTGCATCCACAGGGGGAAGACTGGAGCCTGGACTCCTGGGTATTATTTTTTTTAAAGCTTTCCTGAAATATGCCTCCTGCGCCTTGCCCCTGGCTTAAACTTTGTCTTCTAGGTGGCCTCAGTACTGTTTTTGAGATTTTCGGATGCCTGAGCTCATCTTCCACATTTTTATTCAACAACCAAACTTCAATTGGGATCATTTCGATAAAAGAAATCCTTGGGTCAGATACGGCCATTTCATCCTCACATGTCCTTGTCCCGAGCACCCTCCCGGCCTGGATGTTAGGGCTCTGGGCTCTTCTCAGCCCTTTGTTTGGAGGGATTTGTCCTCTGCTGAACCCATTTCCCTGTCAATCTTAATCCCTCTTGGTCATCCATACCCAGCCCTCCTCTGACCTCATAACCCAAAGACCTGAGACTGGGCACTGTCGGCCTGCACTGGCGGGTGCCCTCATCCCTCACCCACACACCTCTGCCTCCTCGTGTTTAGATATGGGAGCCACTGAACTCACCCTGCTCCAGAGCCAACAACCGCGCATGGACCACACATGTGGAGAATAAAGTTGCTGTTATTTACCGAATACTAGGTTTCTCTTCGTGAGGAGATGAGGGCACACAGTGGGATCCATGAGATACTTCCTGCTAGGGCCTGGTTCACGGTGCTGTGTCCCCAAACCTTCCCTGGGGACTCAACACTAACATCTCCTCACCCCCACACTGGGATTCCTTGACAGTGCAATGTGTGAATACCACCAAAGACCAACTTGTCAACCATGAGGTTTACAGGAATATGCATGGGTGAGTGGTGACTTAGAGGAGCAGAAGTCACCCAAAGACAGCTGCTTCACCAGAGCTGGCCTCAGCATGAGTGACAGCTCACAAACCTGGGAAGCTGGAGCACCCTGCACAGCATGGAGGCAGGCCATGAAGCTTGAGGGTGCCCTTTCTGGGTGCCTCGGTTGGTGTAAACCTCTTGCAGGCAGCTTGTATGGGTTCTGCTTCTTCTGGACATCTGATCTGGTGTCAGAGTCTCCCTTGCAGCGTGGCTTGTCTGAGAGTCTTCTTTGCAGCTTTGATTGTGTTCCCAAGCATAGAGGGGATGGCGAATCTGCTTGGTCTCAGGCACTTCCTCAAAGTACTTTGAATTGTTTTCTATGACTGTATTTATGTGTTCTCTTTATGTCCAGATCATAGTCCTTGTCACCCTCCTTACAGGGCCCCTCCTGAATTCTCCCCTGCACTTCACCTCTGAGAAGGGAGAGGTCCTCCCTGGGTACCAGCCCATGTTTTCATCTCAAGTCATTGCAGGACTAGGTGCACCCTGTCCCTCTGAGGCCGGACAAGACAGCTTAGTTAGAAAATGAGATCCACAGGCAGACAGCAGAACCAGGAGTAGCCCTTGCTTCAGTTGTTGTGAATCTGCGTGAAGACCAAGCTGTACCTCTGCTACATATGTACGGGCAGCTTAGGTCTAGCCCTTGTCTCCTCTTTGGTTGGTGGCTCAGACTCTGGGAGCCCCCAAGAGTCCAGGTTAGTTGACTCTTTTGGTCTTCCTGTGGAGTTCCTATCCCTTCCAGGTTCCTCAGTCCTTCCCTCAGTTCTTCCAGAGGACTTGTTGAGCTCAGTCTAATGTTTGACTGTGGGTCTTTGCTTCAGTGTAGGTCAGCTGCTGGGTGCAGCCTGTAAGAAGGCAGTTCCGCTGGGCTCCTTTTTTCAAGGATAACACAGCATCATTAATAGTGTTAAGGATTGGTGCTTGTCCATGGGATGGATTTCAATTTGTGCCAGTCATTGGTTGGCCATGCCCTTAGTTTCTGTGACATCTTTCTTCCTGCACTTTTAGGCAGACAAACTGTGGGTGGAAGATTTTCTAGGTCGATTGTTGTCCTTATTTCTTCCCTGGGAGGGTCCTGTCTGGCTACTGGAGTTGGCCATTTCAGGATCCATATCCTTCACCGTCAGGAATGTCAGCTAGAATCACCCTCATAGACTTCTTAGAACCGCCCCATCCCACGTTTCTAGCAGCCAGGGGGCTTAGCAGTTGGGGAAGGAGAGGGAAGGGGAGGGGTCAGGTGTAGGGCGATCATGGGGGAGAGGACAAGCATAGTGAACCCAGATCTGTGGCATGGTGGGTGGGGGCCTTTTTATTTTGAATGTTTAGCTTCCACATTAGGAGATTCCCACCTAGGATGGAATGTCTTCATCTCTGAGGAAACTGTTCCATAATGCTTAGGTTGCTCTAAAGTTTCTTCCCAACCTGGGGCCTAACAGAGCCCTCTTGGCACTGCAGCATGAAGCACTGGGACACACTGGGACCTAGGAGGGCAGGAGGCTGTGTCCCTCAGCTTCTCTTGTGTGTGTGGATTTGATTCTCTCCTTCCACAGCGTGGCTTCTGGAAGATTGACCTGAGTGCGTCAGGCTTGAAGGAGCCACCATTGCCCGCTACCACAGTGAACATCTTACTGTCCTGACTTCTCCGAGCTTTTAGAGTTTTCATTCTGGGCTGAAATATGTCCCCTGCCCACAGATGGCTCTGTGGGGAAGAAGCAGGCAGTTCATGTTCCAATCTCACTGTCCTGTTAGAACCCAGAAAGTAGTGGGGCAGCCACAGTGCTGAGATGTGGCAGGTCAGGAAGAGCGAATCTGGAGATGCAGAAATATCCATGTGCATCCACACATCCTCCCCAGGGGATTAAGTACTGTTTTCACAGCTGTGATGGAAACCAGAAGAAAGCAGGTGAATGGAGGAATGATTTCCTGGTGGGATAAAAGCTGGTTGTGGTAGGGGGCGTGGCACCAGGTGTGTGGTGGGGGAGGGGCATGAAGCCAAGACACTGCCATTGGATCCACAATGGAGAGACTGGAATGGTGGGTCCCAGGCATGAGCTGGTGCCTGCTCACATTCAGGGTGGGTTATCCCACTCAGCTAAGATTCTCTGGAAACACTCAGCAGCCACAGCCTCTAAGCTGTGCTACATTAGTGCCCTCAGTGTCTCCTTTTCAAATCACATTTCCCAACACACTAATCATCATGCGCATCACACAGTCTTTTTATTTGTGGAGATGTAAGTTGGAGTCTTCCATAGAGAAGAGTTGCTATCCCATAAGTCACTGCTCCATCATTGTCATGTTTCGTCCTCGAGTAGTTCATATCATGGGCAGAAGAAGAGGGCAGAGATTACAGAGAACAGCACCTCAGAACTGGGGTTACCGCTGGTAACTATCAGAAGTGCCTTTTACAAGCCACCTCATCTCCCACACACAGCCCGCCTTGGCATCCCTTCCTGTACAAATCGCTATGTGCCACCACACCCAACTGAACAGAATTTCCTGCAGATGTAACATCAGAGTGCAGGGGGAACCCATGGTGAACCACAAACCAAGGAACAGACCCTGTATGTGAAACATGTTGTGGGTGGAGAGACAGCTGTCCAGTCAGAAGGACATACTGCTCTCGTTGGTTCCCAGCACCCAGGTTACATGGTCACAATCATGTACAGCCCTAGCTCCGGAGACTCCTGGCCCTCTTCTTGCCCCGTGAGGGCACTGCACTCACACGCCCATGCCCACAGGCACACGCAGCCAGACACAGCTGGTTAAAAGTAAACTGGGGAGGCTGAGGCAGGGGGATTGAAATCTTAAGACCAACAAGACTGAACAGCAGGCATCTGCGGGTGGGAATCCACCTGGCACAGCTAGTCCAGGACCACAGATGTGAGCATGGTGGCACACGCCTTTAATGTCACCACTGGAGAGGCAGAGGCTGGGGGATGTCTAAGTTCAGTGCCACCCTGCTTTATGGAGCGAGTTCAAGGAATGACACAGAAACCCTGTCTAGAAATAAACAAAGGAAGTAATTAGGACCCCCAAAAGAGGTGTGTTTGGGGGGGGGGCATGACACAGTAGGTCACCCCTGTTATTCCAGCAGAAGCCAGTTGAAGCCTAAGCAAGAGGATCAGCACAAGTTCAACAGCAGACTGGTCTGCCTATGGAGGTCCACATCAGCTGAAGCTATCAATCTACAGCGAGACCTTTCTCAGATAAGTAAATAAAGAAAGCCTCGGGACCACTGTGAACTTGTCTCAGGCAGACCCATGTCTGAGGATGCTGTGAACTTTGTAAGTTTGCAAACTTTTATGAAGGGATTCTATGAGACAGATTGCAATTCCCTTCTAATGAGCATGCCCCTGAACGGAAGTCACCCTCAGTTTTGGGGTGGTGCAGTGGCTGGGTCCTCGCAATGTGTGGTACTTGAGAAGGATTAGGTGTGGCCTTGTTGGAGTAAGTGTGGTCTTGGAATGTGTCAGTAGGGGATGGCTCTGATGTTTCCAATCCCAAGCCAGGCCCAGTGGCCCTCTCTTCCTGCTGCCTTCAGATGCAGACATAGTACCCTCAGTTTGCCCAGGAGGAAGCAGATGAAGTGGTTTCCTGGACAACAGTTAGTGTGGTCATGAAGTCTCCACAGTGCTATAGAACACTGACTAAAACATACAATAAATTCTGAACAAGTGATTCCCCAGGGAGGAGGGAGAAAAAGGCTCTACTTCCTGGTATCTCCCCGTTCCTGGGGTGGGTTTACTCAAACCATGGTTGATTTCAAGCCCCCAAAATGCCACTGACCACACACGTGAGGACATGATCAAAGTTGTGGAGGACAGAACAGCCAGAACTTCAAGGACACCCTTGGCTACTCTCCACTTTGCGGGCAGCCTGGGCTCTGTGAGATTCTGTCTCAAAATGCAAAGAGAAGACAAATTTGAGTTGTATTTCTAGTGTCCAGTTCAGTAGTGTTGAGCATGTTCAGGGTGTGGTCAGCAGATCCCCAGAACACACTGACGAACTGTCATTTACCAACCCCTCTCAGGGCTGCGGCTATAGACTGTTCCTCTCCATGCATAAAGCATCAGTTCCTTCTGCAGCACAGTAAGAACCAGGCAAGCATCGGATGCACACCTACAATCCCAGAGCATAAGCAATGGAAGTGGAAGAATCAAGTGCTCATGGGTGTCTTCTCTGGCTACACTTTGAGTTCAAGACCAGCCTAGGCTTTGTGATGCAAATTTGAAAACAACTCCAAGCCAGCTGTGGTACAAATCTATAATCTTAGCACCTGAGAGACGGAAACAGGGGGACCCACAAGACGTTTGAGGTCAGACTTTCTAAATAGCAAGTTTCATCCCTACCTACCTGGGGACAGTCTGTCATAAATAATGAACAAGAATTCTCAGAAGCAACCATGTAATATTTCTACTGTAAAACTGTGACAGAGATAAATGACCAAAATCATGGGAAAGATGGCAAGTGGTGACTGTCCAATAATTACTTTAAAAGTCCAA